TTCCTGATATCTCACACAAAAATAATAAAATAACAAAACCTTCTTCTATATTCTAACATTAGAGGTTAGTTCAAATTATAGGAGAGAAAAACTTGATAGGCAAGTTTTTTAGAGGAGAAGAAGAAACTTAATGGACAAATTTCTTAGAGAAGAAAAACACTTGGTGGAATATATAAGAAAACTTAAAGGGAAAGAAAATTAGTTTGACAGACAAATTATTTGAAACTCAAGTAAATAATATAATTTATAATATATTATAATATTAAAATATCTGTTAATATATTTTAATCTTTCATCAATCATGTGGCCACTTGCAATTTTTTGTTTCTCTCTTCAATCGCTGTGCAATGGGGTCCAAATCCAACTCGAGTATAAGGACAATTCACTCTCTCAGGGTACTGAAATTATATCAAAGCTTAATAAATTTCAACCTTCTGACATTTTTTCTTGTATTTGCCGTTCTCCAATTTGACACTTTTATCCATGATCTCCTAGCAATAAAATATTTTATAATATAGTAATTAAGTGAAAAATGAATGATGAGGAAGTTGGGAGATGTGGGTGTATTTTAATATCAAATTAATGAATTGATGCATGTAAGGTATATATTTGATGATAAGCAGTGGGAGTTTTTTTTTATTACCTCTGTCACAAAAGAATAGTCTCCTTTAAAAAAAATTTAATTTTTTTTAATAGTATAATTATTATATTTTAAAAAAAAATTTAGATTGTGCTTGGTGAAACTTTCAAATCATAATTTTGTCTCTCTATTTGCACTCTCTGTTTTGATAAAGTTTTAAAAATGTGATTCTATCACACATTTCAAAACATATTTCTCTTTCACATTTGACATATCTCTCTCTTTCGTCTTCTTCATTTTGAAAGGTAGGGGAGTTTTTGAATTTTGTCTCTATCCGATCATCCTCCTGAACGTTCCTGTAGACGTTCGGCCAATTGATCCGGACAGTATAATTTTATTTATTTATTTTTTTGCAATTATCAATCGCCACTTGTTGTTTGGAAAAGAAAATTATATTTGTTTTTGATATTTTTTAAATATAGAATTTATTTTTTTATACCAAAATGACAACTTATTTTTTTGAATTGAATGTTAAAAAGAATTTGGTTATGAGTTTTGAATAAAATTTGTAATAAAATTTTGAGTTGTACGTGTGGTTATAAGTTATAACTTTTTGAATTAAATTTTAAAAACTCTTTTTAAGACTTATAACCAAATAAATTTTTTCAATTCATATATCACATTAAAAATTCAAAATTCAATTAAAAAATCTTTTCAAAACTCATAATCAAACAAATTTTTTCTTTTCAAATCATAATTTCAAAACTCACAAACTCAAAATATAACTCTACTCTCAAATCATAATTCTAAAACTCTACCAAACGTAACTTTGATTTTTCAAAATTAACTTAATTAACTTGATTTGTGCAAGCATGTTTTACTTGATGTATTCTAAAATATGAACGGTTCAAATTATCAAAATGAGCTTCAAAATAGACCCATTTTATTATAAAGTAATAGCTGCTGTCTACCCCGCATAGCAACGACCCCAAATTGAGATCCTAACTAAATAATGTGATTTGCAAGTCAAAATTAATACAAATATTCGGCTTAACTTGTTTTGTGAGTTGGATTTATTGACTTATTTAATTTGGGTTTTTTTTTAACAAATTTTAAATATATATATATATATTTATATATAAATTTTTTACTTTTAAATAGGCCAATTTTTTTTTTTTAAATTCAAAATATTTTTTAGAGCCTGTTAAAGATAAACCCATGTCATTTTTCAATGATGACATGATAAATATGCCATCTTTTGTCAAAAAAAAATGCAAGTACGAGTAGAAATTTATTATAACGTTAATATTACGTGATTATTAATATGTGGTATCAGCATTCAATTATAGTGCCTGTGTGGCAGAAATTATTTACAGCTTATTTCAGTTTTCAGTTTAATTTAACCTATTTTGATGTGTTTGGTTTAGCTTATAGCCTATAGCTTATAACTTTGTGGAAGTCAGAAATCAGCTTATTCTTTGAGTGGGGCAGGAGATGCTTTAAGAATAAGCTGGAAATCAGCTTAAGCTGAAAGTTATAAGCTATAAGCTGTTTAGGTATAAGCTATAAGGACTTTCCCACAGCTCTACCAAACAGGGCTATAATCTTTTTAATTATAACTTATCATGTAAGTGTATTCTGGTATTGTTTAGAAAGAGTTCATTTGGGCTCTTTGAGCCACAAAAGACAGAATAGGCTATTTGAGCCACAATAGACAAAATATCACATCCAATCCATAATCATTACATTCTTCTCTTACAAAAAAAATTAAAAAAGTCAAAAAGCTAAAAAATCTTTCCCAAACTAAACTTTTGAGTCCAGGCTCAAATAGTCAAAAAAGTCAAAAAACCAAAAAACTTACCCACTTCCCAAACCGAGGCTCTATCTCACTTTGTAAATGTGTCAATTAGTGACATGATTTGAACTGGGTGATTACATTTAGCCTCTGTTTGGGAAGAAAAAGCCCAGGCTTTTTTGGCTAAAATAGCCACAAAAAATAAAATAGACTATTTTAGTCACAAAAAACAAAACATTAAATCCAACCATAATCATTACAATCCTCTCTCACAAAAAAAGTCAAAAAAGTAAAAAAGTCAAAAAGCCCTTCCCAAACCAGGCTAAAATAGCCAAAAAACTAAAAAACCAAAAAGTCAACCCACTACCCAAACGGAGGCTTAGACAGTAAAATTCACATTTTTAGAGAATATTTTATTATTAATTAGTGATGGTATCATATATCAACGATTACAAAAATAGACAATTATTTGAAGTCTTATACTCTTGAAAGCAAAGTTACACAAAGTGAATTTAGGAGTTGTTTAGAGTGTCCTAAATAAATATATTTTTTATCTTTTTAAACTAAAAAATTGAGAAAAAAATATGAATGTTTAAATTAATTTTTTGACTTTTTATGAAAAAATATTTAATAAAATATTATAACAAATATTGAAATTATCAAAATACCCTTACGGACACAGTCAGCAACACTGTCAATAACACTTTCTCTCTCTTTTCAATTTGTTTTATTTATTTTTTATTGTAGCAAATGTGACTCACAAACATGCCACGTTTTCACTTTTCATGAGAAATTGTGCTGCCAAATTGTGGCTGCACAGCTTGATTGACTTATATTTTTTTTTTTTTCAAATCGACAAGTTTTCCGCCAAAAGTATTGGTGAATAGTACGTATCTTTTTACTTTTTTTTTTGTTTTTGTTTTTGATGGCTTTTTAATTTTTTGATTTTTTTTATATATACCAAACCAAGCCTTAATGCCAAAAGGATAGAGAGTTGAGAAGTGTTGGGTTGTACAACACAAACGTTACATGTGTGAATTATGATGAGAGGTCAATAGTGGTTGGGTTGGATTGTTGGTTTGGATAGGATGGTTTTGAACGAACAAAGGATGGGGTTAGCATGTTAGATTCATCATATTTATCTTTTATTATTGGTTTTGGTGTGGGCTCACTCGGCGATTCATTGGCAACTAACTGCCTAGTTTCAAAATTAGGTGTATACCACCAACTTTAGAAGGGTAGATTAATCAAATTAGTTCGATTTTAGGCTCCGTTTGGGAAGAAAAAAGTCAAGTTTTTTTTGGTTTAAATAGTCATAAAAAACAAAATAGACTTTTTCGCCTAATAAGATAAAACATCACATTTAATTCATAATTATTACCTTCTTTTCTTTCACAAAAAAGTCAAAAAAGTCAAAAATCCTTCTCAAACGAGACTTTTTAGCTCCAAACTAAAATAACGAAAAAGGTCAAAAAGTCAAAAGGCCAACCCACTTCCCAAACGAACCCTTAAAATAAATTAAGAATTAAATTGGTCTTTATGATTCTAAATTGAATCATTGAGCCTATGTAACTAGATGATAACTAAATCATGAAGCAAATTTGATTTGAATCAGCTCCATTTCTTCCCAAATGAAGTCATTATTGTTCTCTTCATGGAATCATCTGCATTCGTATGAGCCTGCATTACAATTATACACACTTGTAATATGCAATGTCAACTACACTTGTAATATGCATTTCATATGGAATCCAATTGTAATATGCATTTCAACTTATTTCATATTAAATATCTGGATTACCTTTATCTCCCTCCATATGTTATCTTTATTTTGCTGTGGGACATAATGCCAAGTCGTAAAAGTGAGTGGTGCAAGACTCTCATCTCGTGCCAGAACGCCCAAATGTGAAGCAAGGGGTGTGTATCCTTCAACTACTTGATTCAACTCATTTGAAACAAGTTTTAAAATGCCATCATCTGAAGTACCCCATTGACCATGTACATATGTGGGACCCCTTGTCTGCTTTTGTGTGGCTTGACTTGAGCTAGGACCTATAAAAAAACAGCAAGAAAATGTAAATTATCAATCTGATAAATATCATCAGGGCTATTTGAATTAAATATCAAATCATATTGTATAAGTCCCTGTAGGCTGTAGTTGCTAATTCTTTTTTCAATATAAAACACAATACCATCAATACATGGTTCAGTAGCATGCAAGCCCTAGAACTGATTGCACAATTGGTCTCAAACCCTCCAAGATAGTGTTATGCTTCATTTTATGAGCTTTACTAAACTTTCAGCAAATATGATTTGTAATTTTATTGCAATAAATTCATGAACATTCTTTCTGAAAGCTTAAACATGATATGAAAAAGATAGTAGACAATCATCATAACAATAAGAAATGTATGATAATAAAAACATATATCATGCAAGATGAAATTATAGTCTCAACTTTCACCATAATTCACCTAAAATCAACTAGTATTAGAGAGAGCTCTGTCTTCTGTATTTAAATTTGCGTTTGTCAATATCAATTTACTGTCAACGATTAGTCTGCGAAACTTTTTAGGATAGTTGGATTGCTTGGCACCATTAGTTAATGGAAACAAAAACAGAAAAAGCATCAAATTAAGAGTCAATTAGTTGAATTCAACATGGTACACCTCTGACATAGTTGGATAGTACAATCCAAAATTCTGCTCAGTCCCAGGAGGTTTTTGATTCTCATTAAACACAGCAAACACATAGGTCTCTATGCTCTTCCCAGGCCTCTTTGGGGTACCCAATGTCCCTGAAACATGCTCAATCATCTTCCCATTATACATTTCAGCATTTTCTACACTTGCTGCTATCTCACCATCTCCATCGGACGGCCATCCACTCTCCAATACAACAATCTCAACGGCCTCACCACCTGCCTTCTCTAGTGCAGAGTACACTGAATCAACAATAGCATCAAACAAACACTTGTACTCTAGTGTACCATCCCTCACAACCACCTCAGTACTGTTCAACAATGCATAGGACAATTGAATCTCATTTGGGTTATCTATGTATGCAAAGTAAGGGTACACATTGACTAGCAAAGGGCTCTTATTTTCTGCTAAAAATGAAGTGATTTGTCCCATTTCAGAGCTCACATCCTCTGAGAATTCCCCTTTAGAAGGAGGGTACGAAATCCCAAGGATTTGTGTTGAAACCGATGTGGTTACTTGGATGTTTCCTAGATTAGCTGATTCTAAAGCTGTTTTGAGATTTTCCATGGCTGGGAAAACATATGGGGATAGGTCACCGGGGATGACTTCGTTGCCAGCAGATATGCAGAGGAATCGAATTGTGTCTGAGTATGGAAGTATGTTGGTGTTGATCCAAGATGTGGCATGTGAAACATTAGTTGATAGGTCTTGGAGGTCTTGGTCTAAGGTTCCGAGGATGACTTCAATTCCTGAATTTTTTAGAGCTGTGAGGACATCGAGGTTTGGGGCGAAGAGGCGTGTTTTCGTTATGTTTCTTGATTTTAGAAGTGCAATGACTTGGTTTGGTTGTGGGAGGTTGTTTCCTAGTAGGCCATAGTTTACTCCAACTACTCCAGCTTCTGCATTAAGACGAATCATGATTTGCATAAATTGAACATGAAGTAGAAATCAGTCTAAAAGCATAGAATTTTGTGAAAAGTAGTATACAGGATACAGTGTTGGCTCCGCCATGATAAACACCACAGTATAGATACGTGCACAGAATTCATACACAGAAATAAACTTAGAAAAATGATGTGCATTATTTGGGTAGTAGCCATACCTTATAAATCCATACAATACATTAAATCTTTTGAATATTCTTACAAGGAGTGTTTGGGGACCCACTCCTTGTCTTGTGAGCGTTATGTGATCAATTTTATGACTGATTTGTACATATTTTTTCGATCAAGAAAGTAAGAGTTAAAAAATAAATAAAATGAAGCCAGAAATGAAGTAGTATACCAGCAGATATGTTCAACTGAAGCATATAGAAGGCGGCTATGCAATAATAAAGCCAGCCCATTATTGAGAACTCTCTATATAGCCTCTAAAGATGGGATTTATTTGGATAAACCCAAATGAAGTTGGAGAATTCTTTAACTGAAATGTGAATATATAGAGAGATGATGAAACTCAATGCAAAATAAAAAAAAATTAAAAAATAAAAAATAATTTTGCAATGCTATATCGTACCCGTTAGTCTAAGTTATCCAACGATGATGGCTACGAAAGTGACTAAATGGACAATTTGTCTGCATATTTTACCTTTGTTTTTTTTGTTTTTGGTAGGGACTCTGAAGGCTGCTAATCTCTCTTGAACAAGAAGCATTTTGTGTTGATCCAGTTTGGATTATTAAAAAGGAAAAATAGATGTTTGTACTCAATGAGGTGAAGAATATTCTGTGATGGAAAAAACAAACCTAGGCCATCCACCATCAAACATGGATGACTGTAAATAAGTTGCATTAGTAGTATGAGATCCACACATTGCATTTAGAATTGAATTTGAATAAGCAGCATTAGCTGTTTTCATTTTTTGCACAAACAAACAATAAATAAATGAACAATGATTTATCAATCTTCAATCATATATATTCATATTTGTGTACTTTACATTTGGTCGAGGACTCTCTGTTTCTAAAATTTTCTGTTCTCTTATCTCAAAACACTTACAATATCATCCCATCATTGAAAATTTTGAAGTACATTAATCTCGAAACATAATTCAATAAATGTAGATGTTTTGAGATAAGGAACAAATAGATTTAAGACAGTGAATCCCATGTCATTGCATTCTATATTTTCTATGTCCAAAAATGTTTGCTATTGGACATTGACGAATTTGCACATCACTTAGCATTGTAAATTAACGAGGTAAGTCAAATTAAATAATAACTTGTTGGAAGTTCACTTAATATTTAACTAATTTCAAAATAAATTCAAATGTGACTTGTTTATATAACAAGTTTGATGAATTTTTAACAAGTCGACCAAAAATTGAGCCTGTAAAATGTACAAATATATCAAGTTGAGTATTATGTTATTTAAATTTAAATTAAAAATGTAACAAATTTTAAACCGTATTAAAATTTAACTTAATTATATAGTAATTAATCTTAAATAAACTTTTAACAAATTAACCTGAGTCGAATTCCAATATTTTGATTGGTTTTACAAAATCTACCAATCGCATGATCATTGAGAGATAATACAAAAGCACACACAAGAAATCAGACTGTAACCCAAAGAGAATTTGCTTTTTCTTCAATTACACATGGAACAAATAGACTATGCAATATAGAGGATTTTCAAGCAAAACAAACGAAGACATTCCTCTCTCTCTCTCTCTCTCTCCTTTATCTTCCAGAACCCTCACCTGTATCTTTCAGGAGGATTAAAGACACGTTACTCCAATATTATCAATATTATTATGTGGTGTTTTGAAAAGTTGATAAAAAACTGATTTTTTTTTGGCAAAGAAATTGACTTCTTTGGCTAAAAAATTGATTTTTTTGACTAAAAAAGCCAGATTCTTCCCAAAGTGCCCCTATGTAAAGACAATGTTAGTGACTTCAAAAATAATTAAAAATTACTTATAACATCATAATTCTATTTCATTACTCAAAGCTAAAATTGGATCTCGTTTAGAAATAAATTATTTTAATAATTTTTTTATTTTTTATATATGACAAGTAATAATAATTTTTAAATTTTTTGAGAAGTACAAAGTGGACACTGTTAAATTAGATTTGGCGACAAAAGTTAACTTTTAATTTTTTAATTCATTTTGAATCACATAATTTTTTACATTTTTTATACATAAAAAAGATTTTAAAAAAACCAAAAAATCACTTTTAATCAACTTTCTAAATCAGTGACTTTTGTTAAGTATTGAAGAACACGTGTAGGGGTGCACGTGAGGATTAGCCGACTGAGGCCTCGTTTGGGAGACAGCTGTTTTAGTTAAAAAGTCAAAAAATTATTAAAAAAATAAAAAGGCCAACAACTCATATCAAAAAGTTAAAAATTTCTTTTTTTCTTTATTTTTTACACATCTTTATATAAAAAGTTAAAAAATCATCCTAAATATACTAATTTTTTTACATTATATTTTAACTAAAAAATTAAAAAATTATTAAAAAAATCTATTCCCAAACGAGACAAGAGAGGCATTACCTGGGGAGCAGGCAATGGTGGTCCAAAGATGAAAAGATGATCAGGTGCAGTGCAGTGTGCAGTTCGAGTTCTTTAATGAGCGTAGACTCGAAGCATTTCCACGTGTCATGAGCAAACTGTCAAAGTGGGAAGCAGTTGGTTGATTCGGAAGCAGAGTCACGTGCTGCTCTATTCTGATCGGTGAATAAAAGATCGGTAAATAAAGTAAAATTTATAATTTTATATTAAGTAATTAAATAATATAAAATAATATGATAATTTATAATAGGTGATATCCCGGAATTAATTAATAATTTTTCAAAAGTGACGACTTGTATTTTTCTTTAAATATGCCAGAAAAACGAAAAAAAGGAAGATAATATATATATTATTTTATTTAATTTTACAATTAAGGTAGTGTTTGGTTTAAAACTCAACTTAAATTTAATTTTTTTTTTCAAAATTTATAATCAAAACAATACATTATCACACACGTTCTTTTCAATGTGCATCACATCAAGATTGTGGCGAATCAAATTATGCTTCCAATATGACAGCTCGAAGAAAATACTCTTCTTCTTCCAATTATGACCTGAGTCCTCATTTTCCTCCTTTTGTTTTCCCTTTCTATTCCGTTTGCTAGATTGTTGATGCTTAGAATTCAATTTGAACTTAGGGCCTAGTTGTTGTAGCATATTAGCTCTTGATAACCGAGTTGGACATGGTTCGAATTCATGAGTGCCATCAAAAGACGCACTAGCTTTCCGAAATTCGTGACCCACATTCAACCAGCGGCGATGCCCCATGTAACATAATTTCCTTCCGTTCTTCAAATATCGAGAACGGGTATGTGTGTTACAATAAGGACAAGCTAAAGCGCCTTTCGTGCTCCATCCAGACAAAATTGCATAGGCAGGAAAATCATTTATAGTCCACAATAACACAGCATGCATTCGGAACATCTGATTAGTTTCTGCATCATACGTGTCAACACCGTTTTCCCACAATTCTTTCAATTCATCCATTACAAGGCGTAAGTAGACGTCAATGTTATTTCCAGGTGAAGAAGGACCATCGATGAGCAATGTCATCATCATATGAGGCTGCTTCATGCACAACCATGGTGGCAAATTGTATGGCATCATAATAACTGGCCAACTGCTATGAGAGACATTCATTGCCTTGAATGGATTGAATCCATCCGCTGCTAAACCCAGTCTGACATTGCGAGGCTCACTCGCAAACTTGGGATACAAATTATCAAAATTTTTCCAGACTGGAGAGTCAGCGGGATGTCTCATTTTGCCGTCATCAATTCGGCCCTCTGCATGCCATCTCATTAAAGAAGATGTTTTGGATGACATAAACAATCTTTGAAGCCTTGGAATCAATGGAAAGTATCTAACAATCTTCTGTGGAATTCTTTGTTGCTTCTTCTTAACATCATTCTCCTCCCCCTCAAACTGTTTGTATCTAGGCATATGACACACTATGCAATCATCCATACTAGCTGTTTCCTTCCAATATAGTGAACAATCCCTTGGGCATGCATGTACCTTATGATAATCGAGGCCCAAGTCCCTAAGAAGTTTCCTTGTTGCATAAAATGACTTTGGCAAAGTTTCACCCTTTGGGAACGAATCCTTCAAAAGCTCAAGCAACATCGTGAAAGACTTGTCACTCCATCCACTAAGGCACTTGATGTGCAATAACCGAACAATAAATGAGAGCGTTGAAAACTTCTGACACTCAGGATACAACTCTCTTTCGGCCTCTTTCAATAAATTGAAGAATTTTTCGGTTTTCTCATCTGGACCTTGTTTAATACCAGAACTTGCTGCCTCATGAATAAAGCTTGGTGGAGGAAGTCGAAATCCTTCATATAGCATTTCATAAGTTTCATCACCATCGTTCAAATCAGTTTGCCCGACATTCACATTGTGTGGCACAGGCGACGAAAAATTCTCCCCATGAAAAATCCAACTGATGTAACTTGGAAGAAACCCATTGATCATTAAATGTTCCCCTAACTGGCCTTTCTCCACCAATTTGACATTACGACACCGTTTACATGGGCATGTGACTTCATTCAACAACGGCTTATTTTCGCATGCAAATTTAATAAATTCCTTAACCCCTTGTATATATTCCGGGTGCAACCTATGCTGATTTATCCAACTTTTATCCATCTGACTCTGTCTTACACTACAAATGTCACTGCCAAATCAACAAAGTTCAAAATTACCGTTCCATTTTAATTAATCTTAACCTCAATTCAGTCCCTTATAATGCATGCGACATGACATTATTCACCTCTAACTGGTCTCTAATATGTTGGTTCATCTTACTTTCCCATTCAGGAATGCACGGTCTATATTGTAAAAAGTAGTTCATACCGCTCTGTTCATCTCTAACGAAATTTCGGCAGCATTTCCCCATGGTTCTCCAAATACACGACATAGACTAGGTGTACTGCTACACCTTGTCTAGTATGCACTCGGAGAACACGAGGAGTTGCTTCACGAAATCTCTACGAGATGGACTATAAGCAGTAGAACTACTAATTACAATACAAACTTGTGCTCCTGAACTGTCCAAACTGGATAATCCAAGAAGAGCTTCATCAAAGATGACTAGGTATCTCTAATGAAGATTCTTGGACGGGTCTAAGGCTATTTATGCATGCATGCACCATTAATGATTGCATCCCGGTGGTGCAATCTAAATTAGTACTATCAAGCATACTAGAAGCATATCTACTATGAAGCATATTAATGAAGAAACCAAAAGTTTCTACAATGCTCTTGATAGATTATGATAGATTCAAGAAAAATCACAATCACAATCACAATCACAATCACAATCATAGTTATCCACGTTAATAACTAGAATCACAAAAATATAAGACTCATGTGAGAAGATTGTCTAGCTCTCTGATTAATATAAGACTCATGTGAGAAGATTGTCTAGCTCTCTGATTAATATAAGACTCATGTGAGAAGATTGTCTAGCTCTCTGATTAATATAAGACTCATGTGAGAAGATTGTCTAGCTCTCTGATTAATATAAGACTCATGTGAGAAGATTGTCTAGCTCTCTGATTAATATAAGACTCATGTGAGAAGATTGTCTAGCTCTCTGATTAATATAAGACTCATGTGAGAAGATTGTCTAGCTCTCTGATTAATATAAGACTCATGTGAGAAGATTGTCTAGCTCTCTGATTAATATAAGACTCATGTGAGAAGATTGTCTAGCTCTCTGATTAATATAAGACTCATGTGAGAAGATTGTCTAGCTCTCTGATTAATTTATCTGTTCCTAACTTTTAAAGTCAGCCAGGTACACTCATGTGAGCTATTTTACCTACTCTCTTAAGAACAGTGCTATGCTATCAAGATTTGTGATGGAACAATCAGGACAGGTTAGCCAGCTGGCATGGCTAGACGGTGTTCGGGATTGGCAAATATTACTGACTCAACCAAGTAAATTATCTGAGGTTTATGCTTATTGTGGGGCGTTTGGTATCTTCAATGAGAATTCCTCGACCCATTGCACGTGTTTACAGGGTTTTAAACCACTTTCAACCGAAGCAACGCTACTAGATGAGTGGAGGTTTTATAGACTCTAAAACAACAATTAAAAGTTCGTTTATGTTACTAGGAAGCTGCCAGCTTTTCACGTGGATATAAGTTGTCTGATAATATGACATTGTTCTAGTCGATGAAATGTTGTTAGCATGGCTTATGTTGTTAGCATATGATATTGTTCTAGCGGATGACATTAAGAGAGGAATTAACACTAAATTAAAAATTTGGCAAAAAACACTCGAGTCAAAAGGGTTTATAATTAGTAGAAATAAAACTGAATATATGGAATGTAACTTTAGTAAGAAATAATGGAGTTGCACCTTATGGGGACTTGCACTCGAGCTTGCATCACCTTCTTTGTTTGCTTGTCTACTAAAAACATATAAGGTTAAAAGGAAAAAGTTCCCTAAATTGACAATGAGGTGTAATTCTTCTACGTAGTTCATTTAATTAAACTTTGAATTGAGTCAAATAAAATGAAACATGAATATTGCATAGATGTATATACAATTGCCTGATTTTTATGCTATTGATGTGTGTTTAAAAAGGAACATTAAAAATCTATTATAGTCATAGCTCAGTGCAGCTATCAAATAATTTAGTTGTTAGACTCCAATGTGATTTTTTTTTTATCTATTTGGACTATTATCAGTATACATGCACATATTAGCTATATGGTTGTTAACTTTTGAACAACCTTTGGATATATTATTTTCTGCATCACTTTTTTTTTTTAAAAACTTATTTAGGATGCTTTACTTTCCAGCCTACCTCGCCTATCAGATCTGAAATTGAAGTTAAGCTTGGGGGTACTCAGTGCAACATCATAATGAGCAGACTAAAGCCATGGATGCACCTGCAGTCCTCAAAAAAGAAGAAAATGGTGCTTCAAGCTGGAAATTCTAACCCTGAAAGGCTGCGGTCAACCGAATCCAAAGCCATCATGTGGACTTGTACAGTTTCAGCGCCAGAGATGACTATTGTGCTTTATAGTCGTAGCGGTTCGCCCCTATATCATGTAAGTGATCTCTTCAATAATATATATATATATTACTGTTGTTTGGTATTAGGAAATTGTCCGTTTATTCGGAGTATTGTATCATGCTGTCTATACTATCCCATGTGTAGATGAAAAACCTTTAACTAGTATGTATGTGGAAGGCTCTATTTCAGATCCCATATCTTAGAGATTGAAAATAAGTAATTAATAGTTCTCTAGCTAATGGTAGCTCAATTTTTCACTACCAAAATGTAAACATCCGTGCAGGCAGCAGTAGCTCCTGCCTCCAATATTCCAATGTACGAAGGCTCTATTTCAGATCCCATATCTCAGAGATTGAAAATAAGTAATTAATAGTTCTCTAGCTAATGGTAGCTCAATTTTTCACTGCCAAAATGTAAACATCCGTGCAGGCAGCAGTAGCTCCTGCCTCCAATATTCCAATTATCATTTCCCCGACTCTGTTTATTACAAAATTGTCATTGATACTGGTATTATTTAACATTGCTATTCATATATTTGGTAGTATTATATCATCACAATAGAAACAAAGATCACAAATAACTAGTGCCTGATGCCAATACAGTAATTCTTCATTTTTCCCAAAGATCACAAATAGAGCGAGACAGAGAGAGAGAGAGAGAGTACCGATTGCAGTTCAGAAACAAAGTAGACTATTCAATGGAGGTTGAAATGCGAGTAATCGAGGGGACGACAGAGTTCAGATCTGAATCTTCGAAATCGCAGGCACGGAGCTTCGAAATCGCGTCGATGGAGCTTCGATCCGAATGTTCGATGGAGCTTCGAAATCGCTTCGATGGAGCTTCGCTCTGAATCTTTGATGGAGCTCAGAGAGGGTTGAGAGAGAGCGAGAGAGAGGCTCTGATTCAAAATAAGGGTTGAGAGAGAGAAAGATCTGTCCGTATGTATTAAGGATTCAAAATAAGGTTTCGGAGGTGCGTGTTATTGTTCAAAAAAAAAAAGAAAAAAAAAAGAGGCGCGTGTGGCTACCACATTCGGAGGCGTTTTTAAACGCCTCCCATTATAAAACGGTGTCGTTTTGTGTAATACAATACGTGACGTTTTATAAAACGCCGTTAAATAATAAAAACAGTGACGTTCACAAAACCGTCGTTAAAAAAACGCCACCAAATCCACTTTTTCCTGTAGTGTGGATCCTGCATGACTTATATTTTTATAAAACGCCGTTAAATAATAAAAACAGCGACGTTCACAGAACCGTCGTTAAAAAAACGCCACCAAATCCACTTTTTCCTGTAGTGATTTGAGGTTATTTTCCTAAAGAACTCTTGCATGCATGTCATAATCCAAGCTTTGTTTTTGAAATTCTTCATGTTCTATGTCATATTGCCATAGTTGATCATGTTTTCGAGTTGAACATTGCATTTGGTCATGTTTTGGGAAACTTTGGTTCAAAGAATTGCATTTAAGTTATGTTCATGTGTTAATCTCGAGTTTCAATTTGAGTTTTATTCAATTGGCATGCTTTTGAGCCATGATTTCTTGTTACGATCCTTTAGACATGTTGTTTCATGAGTTTCTAAGTGTTTTATTCAATTGGCATGCTTTTGGGCCATGATTTCTTGTTTTGATGTACTGTAGTGAGTTTCTTTAATTTCTATGATTTTGTTATGTTATTTTGATTTATACTCTGGTTCGCAACCCCTAATGGTTTGTTGGTTTCATATGATTTTGTTTATTCTGTTATGATACTCTGTGAATTTGATATGATTTTGTTGTTTTTCTAGCATAGTTCTTTTGGAATGCTTCGGAATGAATTTTTTCTTTTTATGTAATCTGTGTACACTTAAGATTGGAATAATTTTGTGTTAAAGTATTTCTTTACTTGGCCACTCAAGTAACCCCTAGCCTACTGAGCAAGAGTCTTTGTACCGATTTTCTTCATTTATTAATTATTTTTTATTATTTTTATTTGGAGTCTTTTTTATGTAGTTGTACTTTGTAATATATTTGTGATAATGGATTCTGAAGCTGATCACTCTTTTAGGGACATGTTTAATTGGGTGGATTAGAGTATGAGATTAAGATTATTAATTTGTGGATTTAATTATTCTATGGTTGTTTTAATATTTTGATTTAGGATTATTAATCTAATGGATAATTAATCCAACAAATTTATAAGATTATTAGTAATGGGGTAAAGGTAGCATTATTAATCCAATAAATATTAATACAATTGGATAATGAATACCACATTAATTTAATAAAATTATTAATATTTCATTATTCGTCTTGTGAATCAAACATGACCTAAAAGTTATAACTTTTTGCTATCAAATATGACCTAAAAGTTATAACTTTTTGCTGAAAACTTTTTGATGAGTGTATCCACATATTTCTTTTGCATCTATGGGTGAATGTGCATGGGTTTTCTAAATGGAGGAAGAAAAAAAGATTTTAGAGTCCAATAATCACAATAATATATTTTTTTTTGGAGGTCTACTGGTATTAAATTATTAAATTTTTATTTGAATTGGTGGTTAATAATTTGACGAAATGTTAGAGTAAGAAAATTAAAATTCATGTGTTAAAATATTTTCACGTATATATACATATT